CTAAGGGGAGTTTTTGTAATTTTCCAATGTCATAGAGTAAAATATGTTTAAATTTGGGACGGGATGTGACACATTACATGCTTGTTCCTTATATTTTTAATATGTTCTAATATTTTATAATCTATGTCATTTTATTTTGCAATTTATGTACATACAATTATGTATGTTTTTAAGTATAAGTAGACATTTATTTATATGTTATATAATAAATTTAGGTAATATTATTGGCTACTCCAAAAATCTAGTTGTGTACTTTTCATAACAGTTTTTTTTTTTTTTGTTGAAAGTTTAGACTCTGGAGTGTACAATTAGATTTTTACTACCAATAACAATTCCCTAAATTTAAGTAAAATTAAAAAAAAAAAAACCATCTAGGCCAAAGGCTAGCCCCCCCCTCCCTTAGCCCGTCTAGACGTCTTTGTTTGCCACCCGATTAGAGTTTAGCGTGATTCGTTAACGATGCAGGGTCATTATCGGGTAGTCCGTTAAGAACCTGATAAGATATGGTTTCCATATCTAGATATTAGGTATATTAAATTCTTGCATGGCCTGTTATCTGAATATGAAACGACACAATCGTTTAACGAATTCAATAGTTATCAGGTCACCTGCTAAGAATTCGTTAAGACAACAGGTTTGACACAACACGACATATTAAGATAATGGATATAACATAAAAACAAAATAAAAACACGATAAAGATGACCCATTTGCTTGCTTAAATTATTTAAATAAAACACCAAATAATATTGATTAGACTTGCAACCAAATTCAACTTAACGGTCAATAACTTACCCCTCTTTTTATGCTAGCAAATATTGTTGAAGCCGAAATCGAATTTGAAATCTTGTTTTCAAGGCTGAATACTCGAACCTAAGTGACATATATAATAAGAAAAAACAAGTGAAACAAAAAATCAGATACAGCTCATAAGCAATACTTTTTTCCAGATAATTTCTAGAAGGATATTGCATATGGCAATAAGAGTGCAGAATAACATACTTGAGGGCACTTGGAAGCTCACAAAAAGAGTTGCAATGATACTCCCTTGTCAATGAACTCAATGAAAATATCAAATATGAGACGAAGACACAGAAGTTCACTCTCAAAAATATGTCTGTACCCCTTCACGTCAATCTCACAAGCCTTTTATTCATTTTCATTTGATCACGACGGTGAAGCAAGTAAAATACAAAAACCCACATTAAAATTAAAAATAATCAAGCTCAAACTGGTGACCATGACGTAAAAGCAAGTAAAAAAATACAAAAACTCACGTTAAAGTTAAGAATAATCATGCTCAAACTGATAACCACGACGAAGAAGCAAGTAAAAATACCAAAACTCACATTAAAGTTAGGAATAAGCAGGCTCAAACTAATGATTCGTACCATTACCGATACTTTTTGACAAAGAACAATACTTTTGGAAACGGTGAAACTGAAACCATGTAGGATGGGACTTCGATCCTTTCCTGAGTCCCAAGTCCTGTAGGATGTACTTTGCAAGCTGACAATAATTAACGAGGTGGGGTCCTATTAAAGTTAAAAACTTGGATTTAAACTCTTGCGGTGTACTTCGTTAGCAAATTTAGTTTAAAAGTGATTTTTTTCGGTAGCTATCTGTTAATACATGGGTAAAATTGTACGTTGACATTTTTACTGGATTTTGGTTTAACTGCTATCTGAGTTTTCAATTTCTGATCGGTTAGAATTCTATTAGAGTTGGCAAGCAACAGGAATGGATTCTTACTGTGTGGCTTTGAAAAACACCCATTTGAGAAGACCAAGTGGTTTATGCAATGGTGGTTCTGGGTTTTTGGGGGAGAGGGTTAGAGGGAGTTTCAATAACAGGCTTTGGGCTAATCAGTTGAGAACTGACAAGAGGAAGGTGATACCGGGAGCTGTTCTTGCTGTTCTTACCTCAAAAGATGCGAAGGTTGTCGTAAGTTAATCCTTTCTTACGTTCGATTGCCCATTTGATAATTTTTGAGATAAATAAGTAATTTGTATGATCACTGCCATTTGTGTATGTTAATATTTGTTATTTCGTTAACTTTATATGTATGATGAATTATGAAAAATGTTTTCTTAATCATGGGTTCGATCTCAGACTCTGCAAATGCCATCGTTACCTAGGCGGAGAGTAGATCCGAAAAATGTAGCTTCGATTATATTACGACGAGGAAGAAGAAGGTGCACATGTCAAAGTACAATTTTACCCATGTATTAACAGTAATTAACAGAAAAATCACTTTTGGATTAAATTTGCTAACAGAGTACACCACAAGGTTTAAATCGGAGTTTTTTTAGCACAGGACTATCTTCCGAATACCTTATAACCACATGAATCATTTATTCGATTCGAAAAAAAAAAAAGAAAAAAAAAAAGAAAGCTCTTATTTTACATCCCAAGATTTTAGAAAATCACTCAAGCACACTGGAATTACATTACAAAAGTTTATGATAAATGTTAAAGATACTATTTTAAAAATAGAATTCTTTAGGGACAATCCAACACATTACGTTTTTAGCATAATTCTCTTATTACATTATAAAATATTATGAAAAAAGATGATGTGACAGAAAGTTCATAAGAAATTCTACTTTAAGAAAGTTTCTTTAGTATTTTTAAATTTACACTTTAAAAAAAAAAAATCAACTACTTGTCAAGTCTCTACTTCAACACCGGTAAAATCAAGTACTTTTCAAGTCTCTAAGTCAATACCTGTCATGGATAAGCTACTAGTTCAATAAGGTAATAATCACAATGCATTTAATTCATCGGAAGCAATAATAGTACATGAATGTAATGATTGCTCTTCATTCTATAATGTTAATCCAGTTAACAGATAGCTAAATTTCTCTTTTCATTAGTCATTTTTTTTAAACTCTCAGTCTGCAATTTTGAAACACAATTTGGTCATTTTATTGGACTCTAACTGAAAGGGCTTCGCTCCCTTATTTCGTGACTTTGGGCTGAACATAGATCTTGGTGCTCCGAGAGTCTCTCGACTGCTTTTAGTTTCATGTTTCTATGAATCTCATACTTTCCTAATTGTCGACTCTAACGAATGCATGATCATAGTTATTCATTTGCATTGATACTTTTCCAATAATTTTAGTATGCATGACACATTTATCGTTCATAATAATTCTATATCAACATCCAAATAACATTTCCAACCAATAATTTTCGTCGACGAATATCAACTGAGAAAAGAAGGCTATGTCTTATTTTCGTGTTGTGAACATGATTCGACTTCCAAGCTTCTACGAAAGTGGTATTCTTATTCCTTCCCAAATTTTAGACTCCAAGTAGCTCAACGTCTTTACCAATTCTTTAATTCGTGGAATTCAAACGTTTAGGGATCTATTCCTTTCTTCCTTGATCAAATTTCTTGACCACTCTTTCAGATGTCTTCAATCACATAGGTGGTCATTTTATTTTGTTTTTTGTTTTTTATTAAAAAGTGAGGTTAGTTTTATAAAAAAAAAAAAAAAAAAGTTGCAAAATCGGACAATGGTTGGGCAATTTCTCCGAACGTGGGCATTTTTTTTTTATATCTGATGTATAATAATAATAATAATTTTATCTTTATATTGTAAATATTATGTATTAAAAGTAAGGTTAAAATAGAAAAAATAGGGTTATGATTGTCATTTTGAGAAAGATGTTGATTAAGCCTCTTTGCATAATAATATTACTAGTATATGTGCGTGTGAACATTTATTTTTAAAATGGAAGGAGGGAGAAGATAGAGAACGTGGAAGTGGAGGGAGAGAGGAGAGAGGTTTTTATTTTTATTTTTATTTTTATTTTTTTTATTTTTAAATTTTAGAGATATGCTATATTCATATGTGGGTGAGGCTTTACAAAAAATAGCAATATTTGGTTTGTTTGATTATATTAATGCCCATATTTCCTTTTTATATTCAGTTTTGATTAAAGGGACAAAATGTTAATTTTATGGGATTTTAATTGATTCAAAGTTTCATTAATATGTGGTTTAGATTTTATAGACTAGCATATGGGCACAGACAAAGTGTGTGAGAAATTTTTTTATTTTTGTTTTTGAAATAAGAGAGATGAAGGGAGTGATAGAGAACATGTGAGTGGGAAGTTTTTATTTTTTATTTTTTATTTTTTATTTTTTTTAGACATATGTTAGCATTACATGTAGGTGAGATTTTGAAAAAAAAATTAGCAAAATTTGGTTGTGTGAAATTACATTTATGCCCCATATTTCTTATTCATGTTTTGTTTTAATTAGAGGATTAAACTGGTAATTTCATAAGATTTTAGTTGACAATAAATGTTTTATTAATTAGTAGAGATGTATAAAGTATGCATTTTCAATTAAAAATAAAGAAAAAAAAGCAGCATCTAGCATGGCAAGCACGACACAAGCAGAATTAGATTATTGTTGTGGGGTGCACTGGGCTAAAGGTTTCAAATATGGGATGGGTCAGCCCATCTTGTTTATTAAATGAGCCAGCATGAGCACGACACGAGGCACAATTGAGCTGGGCTTAATTAGGTGTGCATGTTGTAGTGAGCATTGTTTAAAATATCGTTACTGGTAGAAATAATAATATGTAAATTTATGAAAATATCTATGGATATATCGATATTAATATCAATATCAGTTTTTTTGTTTTATGGAAATTATGAAAATTTAAAATAAAACTTTGGAGAATATCAAACACGGGTTCAAACGAAATATAAGAGTTTCTTCGATATTTAACTGATATGTCAGAAATATTGACGAAATCTGTTGATTTTAGCTGAAATGTTAGAGTTCTTTCTATCTAGGGTGATGTTTAGACTCCACCCTCCGTTTCCATATCTTTTTGTGAGAACGTAGGAACCAAAAATTTAGGAACATGATAGGAACCATATGAAATTGAAAAGAGAATGGCCAAAAAAAACACGCTTGGAGATCATAGAAAGATAGTAGTGAGAATGTAGAGTAACATATTCTTGGATATACGAAATCCTGCTGCGTTCAATTTCCCCGTCACCCAAACCTCACTTTTTAACGGTAGTCTTCGAAGCACTACTGCATTTGAGTCCCATAGGCCTCATATTCCAAAGATCAAATCTTCTGCACCCAAAATAGGTGTAGGCTCTCTTCGCGTTTGGTTGTAGGCTTGTAGCATGATGCAATAAATTAGATCATAAAACTATTTCCTTGCTTTAATATGTTGGGATTTAGAACACTTGTCCAATTAGTGCAAGAAGCAACTTCTGTACAAGATGGCATTGTATAACCCGGATAAAGAAACATCCAAGTGATCATCTTTCCTCTCTTAAGATCTGTCTTTTGTCCTTTGGTACTCCTGGGAAGGGTCGTTAGCATCTGGTTCAAGCATACTTACATGATACATCAATGCTTAGCTGATTTATGCGGAGCTTTGCATTGCGATGCTGTGATGAATACCAAGTCGAGCAAAACCAAATGCAATCCTGCAGCTGTTGCACGGAATCACCACCTATGTGAGGTTGCGTTAAGGCACTTTTATTGTTTGCATTGTTGATTCTTATACTTCACCTTGTTTGATCTTTTTTCACTTGTCAGGGTCTTGCCAAAAGCTGTTTTCCGATTAATCAAAGTCCTTGAGCACGCCGTCTTAATGGTATTATTTCTTCGTTGTCAACCGAAGCTCTACCACTTGTGCGTTTATTTTACTTGTGTAGAGTTTTTCTTGCACCAATTTGTCACGCTCATACTTTTTCCTAGAGGAGGAAAGATAAGGTCTCAGTCTCTTACTGCAGTTGGTTTCGCTATAAAGAATGAATTGTGCCGCAGTTTCAATCTTCTGGCTTATGTTCCATCGCAGTTCCAATACATTTAGTAGCACCATGCTCGGAGTAGGCAACTGCCTCTTCAACATTGGCAGAAGTGTGTCCTGATAACGCATCGTGCAGATTTCTAATAAAGTAATCACGGCAATCCGCGGGCAACGACACGAAAGGACCGCCCATTAAGATGAACTCGACCTGAAGACACAAATTCAGTACCAGTTATAAGGCGACAACTACGCATATTACTCTATCACGGAAATCTGCAAACCCGAAAATAAATTCTTTAAGCTCTAAACATAGAACAGGCCAAACCTTGTCTACACTGTGACCCAATCTCTTCAGCTGATCTATCCTGCTTCTAGCCTGGACATATGGGTTGTATCTAAACACACAAAACCAAAAGATTAACTACCAAATTAACTTCCCTAATCCAATTTTAAACACCAATTCCTTCAAAGAATCTCTTCATTACAAAGCTCTCAATTTCATGCTGAAAAATCAATCAAGCCAAAAACTTAAAACTTCGAAACGAATCATGAATAACATAAAACTTGAATTCCCTATCAAGTGTTCGATAAAATGCGTCAATGAACTAGAGAAAGCCATACCTTGCCCGAATTGCGCGCATGCTAGTAGGCTGGTATTCAGTGTAAGACTGAGTGCTGCACTCGAAGTCCGAATCGGGACCGCCGGGGCAGTACACGCAAATATTTCCGGTGGTGGCGATGTGGGGGCACCGATGAGGCTTCGACATCACGGCCACGACGGCAATGCCCGAGGCGGTTCGGACCGGCTTCGCCCGGAGCTTGGGGAGAAGAGCCTCACGGTCGGACTCCGGCAGAGCCGCAATCATTTCGACCAGCTTCGGCGCACGTGAGAGGCCGTACTTGCGGCACACGGTGGTCTTGAGGGCGTTTAGGTCGAAGTTTTGGCCCTTCCGGGAGAGGTTGACCATGGAGCTGACGATTTCGACGATGGCTCGGACCGGGCCTTTTCTTCGGAAAGCCCATGGGCCTCGAATCCGCCCCGACCAGGTTGGGGTTGCTTTCTGGCGGGCTCGGATACTGGCAGCACTGCAGTCGCCATGGGAGGGAAGAGGGAGGGGAGTAAAAGAGGGACAAGGATTGTCTGCCCTCTCCGGTGCCCTCTTGATTGTGTGGTCACGGTTAAACCACGCTAACATTTTATATTATTATTTATTTTTGTTAACGTGACTTAACCGTGACCACACAAAACAAAAGGGCACAGAAGGCATCGAAAATGGAAGTGGGAAGGTAGACAATCCTTGTCCGTAAAAGAGCCTATCTCAAAATTTTAAAACGCCTCTTATTTTTAGTTCTTTTAATTTTGTTTAAACTATAATAAAACTTTAATTTTAAATTAAAAAGGCTTTTTAATCCATACTGGCTTGATAGCACACATGTTAAAATTTGAATACAAGTATCACCGATGTGATAATATCGTACCATCTAATAATTTTTCAGGTGAAACCATAGTGAACTAAAATATCAACCACAAAATTTACTTCTCTAAAACTATATATATTTGAAAACTAGATAAAAAAATTAAATATTGAAAATGAAAAATGGGTCATAAACATTGGTTTAGTTAGAATTGGTCTCATCAGTGACATATTTAGTTCCAAACCAATATTATTACATCAAAATACACGCAAGCAAATAATAATATAAGTTCTTGTTACACAAAGAGAATCTTGGGCATTATTCTCATCAGTGACACTGACAGATTCAGTTCCAAGCAATATTATTACATCAAAACACAAGCAAGCAATCAATAATATAAGTTTCAGTTACACAAATAGAATCTTGGGCATTATTCAATTTCACAAAGGGCAAATAAGAAACCTAGATTGATCAACGTTTGCAACTTCACACAACGCACAAACAACAGGGAGATTCTTCCTTGTAGGGCGAATGACTCAACACGTATATAGTCAGCTCTGTTACTATAACGAAAGTTGAGATTCACCGCAAAATCAACTGGCACAAAGGATAACTCACTGCAGTCTCACAAGTGCTTATGAGGCTTGATTCTACAAAAAGGACATTACAAAACAAAAGAAACACAGTTACTGAATAAAATCTCAATGCATGCATATTTTATGTCTTTGCCAGACTTTGTCTAAGATTGGACATGCAAATTGTAAGGGAAAATGATTTTTACACTCCGATGCACTACTTCCTCTTTTTCATAGCCTAATAAATCAAAACACTAACGAACAAAATCAAGAGGAGCGCATAAGAAAAGAAAAAAAAAAGGAGTATGAAAATCACCAACCTTTTAACTTTCTAACGTAATAGTTCAAATGATTATGTTGTGGAATTTTTTTTTTTTTTTTTTTTTTTTTACAAAAATGCTACTTTTACCATATTTTTTCTACCATGTTTGTACCACAACTCTAATAGAAATGAGACTCATGTATGTCGATGGGCTCTACCTCTATAAAAGAAGTGGTACAAATGTGATACAAAAAAATATGATAAGTCTAGCATTAATCAAATTTTTATGCAAGGATAAAAGTGTGCGTACCTTCTGTATACCAAAAAAGTTTTCATGACACCGCCTATTTTCTCTCTCATACCACACTGGATTTCAGGAATATGTTGTACCTTTGGATGATCCATGCCTCCTCTTACGGACTCTATAAGTTGCATTGGAACAATACTCAGATTCAAGCGTTCTACGTTAGCAAGGAACTCAATGCCCTGCGGCAATGCCTTTAACTCCAGGCAGCACGCAATGTCTAAGCCCCGGAGATTTGGCATCACCCCTTTCTCTATAAATATACCATTCAATAAGGGGAAGTTGACCAAGCATAAATGCTTAAGCTTTATGAAGCCTCTGGAGAAACACAATTTTTCGCCAACATATGCATTAAATAGCCCAAGCCTTTCAAGATTCGGCAATGCTTGAATGTGAGGTAGCACATCTTCTTCAAGTCTAGACCAACGTAGATGCATACGTGTCAGGTTTTGGAGTGAACCTAACCAAAGAGGCACCTTTCTAGTTTTCCGGCCAATAAAACGTTTTGAAGGTCTGGAGGAGGTGAACGTAGCGCATTAACTCGAAGAAACTCCTCTTCATCACTTGCCTTTAAAAGCAAAGTGTGAAGGAGCTCTAACTTTTGAAGGGAGTCACAGAGGTCCATCTCGTCACTTGCTTTCACATTTGTAATACCGAGGCTTGTAAGTTGGGTCATATTCCTGATGACTTTAATAATCTTTCCTTCTGATTCAACAGAATGCAAAACTTGCAATTTCTGTAATTTACTTAGATTCGATGCTGTTTTTGTCCCATTGAAATTTCTAAAGGCCGCCCAATCACCAGTGTAACAATACATGATTAGATGGCATAGGTTTACTAACTTGGAGATTGCTTTTGGAAGTGCCCTTATCTTACTCTGACATATGTTCAAGGTTTCAAGGTTGCGAAGCCGTCCGATAGATTCTGGAAGCTCGTCAATTAAGGTTCTCTTCAAATTTAAATATCTTAAGTTGAACAAGTACACTAGTTCACCTGGAAATCTATCAATTGGAGCATCCTGCATATCTAGAACTCTCAACAACTTCAATCCAGAAGGCAATTTCTTTAACGTGCCAAAGACAAGAAGGGAGTGAAGCTCTGACATACCTGTGCAAGAATTAATTTCTCTTTCAGTTGTTTGAATTGACAATCGGCGGAAATCAGCTTTATCTACTATTTCTCTGCCAACATATGCAGCACCAAACTTTTCCTTTTTTGATGTCGACAAGGCAAGCTCACGCACAAGATCATGCATTTTACATGCTCCTAGTCCTCCAGCTTCATTCATTTCAACTTGTAGCATGCTACGAACAATAAGTTCCACAAGATAGCCCTCTGCAACTTCTTCTGGTGTGACCCCATCAATTGGTTCAACAAACCCTTCAGCTATCCATAACCTGATCAACCTTTTTCTTTTGATGAGATAATCTTCTGGGAAAAGAGCGCAATATAGGAAACATGGCTTCAACCGGTTGGGCAAATTGTTGAAACTAAGCAATAAGATGCTGCTCATTGGTTCTAGCATAGGATTGTTAGTCAAGTGCCAATTTAAGCTTTTGTATACAGTTTTCCATTCCGAAGATGACTTCTTGGAAGACATTAGACTACCTAAAGTTACCACTGCCAGAGGTAGGCCTTTACACTTTTCCACAAGTTTCCATGCTAATGATTCAAGCTCTGGTGGACAAGATTTATTATTGTAACTTGAGAATGCTTTCTTGCTAAAGAGCTCCCAAGCTTCATTGTTTTCCAAAGGTTCAATTTCAAAAGGACATCTTTCAACTTCAAAAGAATAGAAGGCTATGTCTTTCTTTCGAGTTGTAAGCATGATTCGACTTCCATGGTGTCTATTAAGAAGTGGTATCCTTATTTCTTCCCAAAGTTTAATATCCCACACATCATCCAATACAACGAGGTACCTTTTAGACTTCAAGTATGTCGACAACATCTCTAACAATTCTTTGTAACTCATGGAATCCAAATGTTGAGTCACCTCTTCCTTTCTTCCTCGGTGGAATTGCTTGATCAGATTTTTGAACAAGTCTTCGATCACATAGGTTTGAGAAACAGTGATCCATGCATAACAGTCAAAATGCCGCTTTACATTTTCGTTGTTGAAGGTATTGGCAACAAGAGTTGTCTTGCCTGATCCTCCCATCCCGACCACAGAAACAACCATTTCATTTTCCCCACCATTCATCAACAATCCCATTAACCTTTGCTTCTTGTCTTCAATCCCGATTAGTTCGTCTTCCATAATATAAAGAGACGACTCGGCTTTGTTCTTCACCCATCTGGGAACACCATCCGAACTTGTTCCTTCTATTGTAGAGACACCATATCTCTCATTCCTCTCTGGAATGGCTTTGATCTTTTTTGTGATTTTCTGTAATTTTTTGGCTATTCGATGCCGATACCAAAGATTCTTTGGAAAGTAAATGGTTCTGTGGAGCAATTTTGCAAATGGAGACGCACTTTGTTTATCATATATGTGATAAAGGAACTTATCAATGACATTTTCCGCATCGCAGGTCAAATCTCTGACGCTTGTAACCCACGTTTTCTCTCCTTCTGTTTGTGCTTCCTTGCCTTCAGCATCTATTAAGAAAGATTTCATGCTTATGAGCTCCAGCTTAAGCTCATCAACTTCATCATGGACTGCCGCTATGGAAGATGCTTTGTTCTCAAGAATGGCCGCAATTTTCCCAATCAATAGTGATGCAGCTGACTCCATATTGGCCTTCGATACTTGGTATGCAATCTGTCTGCAGAATAGACAAGTTTCAAAACAATAGAAAAAGAAAAAAAGAATGCAATGGATAAATTTTTGTATTGTACAAACTATGTGCTTGGTTTTCAAAACGAAACCACAAGCCAAAAGAATTCAAGACATAAATAAGGTACTCAAGAAATTTAAATTTCTGTTCTTAACTTTCATTCAGTTTAACAAAGGGCCAAACTTCAAAAGTTCGAAAACTATTTCTCGAGTCTTAATTTTTTGCAAGAACACAGAATTAAAGAATTTGGTTCAAGAACAAAAATCTATGATTGAAAATGTCTAACTCATTCAATCTAATTCTTCCACCAAATGTCATGGATTTTTGTCAGTGTTAAGGATAACAAAAAGTTTCAATTCTTTGTAGGTGGCAGTTGACTAAGTACCACAAAATTGTTGTTAAATGAAAGTACAAACGTCGAAAAGAAGAACGGAATGTTTCGGGTATAGTAGATTGAACTCTACACAAATGCCACACAATTTTTTGCCCGACCCGTTAATTAGACATTGAACGATGCACAAATAGGTTTTGGGTAAACACGTTAACCACTGTTTTAAAAATCCCTACAACCCTAAGTGGTTGGCCACCGTCCAGATTAATGCCTAAGAATTTGAAAATTACGAAAGAGCACCTATACTTACCTAGGCGCCCGCAGCCGCCTACATAGAAGTTAGATAACTTTCATGTTGCATTTTATTTTTTCTAGACATTGTAATAGACTTGCTGAATACTTTCATTTTTTCAATAAATTGTTATAGGCTTTACAGAAAATAGATAACTTCATTTTGCATTTTATTTTTTCAATATATTGTAATAGTGTCACGCCCCGATCTTGAGATACGTCCGGAATCGACACGCGCATGTGATCAGTAGCGGTACAATATAAAATACATAGTCACTGGGACTCATACATATAATATACATCAAAGCTCAGCGGAAATAACTTACAACAAAGGGTGGCAAACCAATTCTCAAATGCGATGCCCACATAGCTACATAACCTGCAATCTTCTTCTCTAACCACTACCTATTACTCTGCAAAATAACGGGCAAATGAAACCCGTGGGAATGGCACTCCGGGCAAATGAAACCCAGATAAGCTACGAAGCTCGTGTAAAAATAAAAAAATCGCCTAAGCTCTTGCCTGCCACGGACTAGCGCCTAGTGCAATTCGTTAATGATTAAGGTAATTATCGGGTCGCCTATTAAGAACCTGATGAGATATCGTTTTCCAAATCTAAATAGTAGGTATATTAATTTCTTGCATGACCTATTAAATGAACGTGAGATGACACGATTCGTTAAGGAATTAAGGCGTTATTGGGTCACTTGTTAAGAATTCATTAAGATAACAAATTTGACACGACATTACCTGTTAAAGTGACAAATATGACACGAAAACAACAAAAACACGATAAATATAACTCGTTTGCTTGCTTAAATTACTAAAATAAAACACCAAATAATATTGATTAGACTTCCAACCAAATTCAACTTAATGGCGTATAAATCAATAACTTACCCCTTTTTACACAAGCAACGTTATTGAAGAAGAAATCGAATTTGAAGTCTTGTCTTCAAGGATGAATGCTCATAATCTGAATTACATATATAATAAGAATAAAAAGTGAAACAAAAGTCAGATGTAGCTCATAAGCCGTTATACTTTCTACCATAAAATTTCTAGAAAGATATTAGATACTGTAGTAAGACTGCAGAATAACATACCCTGGGGCATAGGGAAGCTCACAAAAGAGTTGCAACGATATGCTTCAGTTGCTTTGATGTTGTTATTGTTGGGCTCCTTTGTCAATGAAAATAAAAATATCAAATACGAGATGAAGGGATTGGAGCTCGCTAATAGAATATAGCCATTCCTAACCTCTCCCTCTCCCGTCAATTCCACAAACCTCTTATCTATTCTCATTCGACTCGACGGAGAAACAAGTGCAATTAGAGAATTCACTTTAATAGAAACAATTGCAAGTTATGATTGAAGTCATGAAGTCATGAAACAAGGACCAATACTTTTTGGGTCTTACGAATAGTTTCTGTCAAAGACCAATAATTTCAGACGAAGACCAAAACCTTTGGACAAAGATGATAATGCGATGTACGTGGAAATTTGTAAACCGTGGAACTGAAACCGCGTGGATGTGTTTTGCTCGCCGACAATATTGACGTTGCGCTAGCTTCGAATAAATTAAAAATATAATAGAAAACTCTTATTTCAAATAACAAACACAAGATTTTGTAAAATCACTCAAGCACACTGTAATTTTAATTCACATTACGAAAGTTTATATACACTTCCAGTAAAGTTTATATACACTTCCAGGAATTAAGGCGTTATTGGATCACTTGTTAAGAATTCATTAAAATAACAAATTTGACACGACATTACCTGTTAAAGTGATGAATATGACACGAAAACGACAAAAACACGATAAATATAACTCGTTTGCTTGCTTAAATTACTAAAATAAAACACCAAATAATATTGATTAGACTTCCAACCAAATTCAACTTAATGGCGTATAAATCAATAACTTACCCCTTTTTACACAAGCAACGTTATTGCAGAATAACATACCCTGGGGCATAGGGAAGCTCACAAAAGAGTTGCAACGATATGCTTCAGTTGCTTTGATGTCGTTATTGTTGGGCTCCACTTGCAACTGAAGAGTTGCAACGATATGCTTTCAGTTGCTTTGATGTTGTTATTGTTGGGCGATATGCTTTCAGTTGCTTTGATGTTGTTATTGTTGGGCTCCAGTTGCAACTGAAGAGTTGCAACGATATGCTTTCAGTTGCTTTGATGTTGTTATTGTTGGGCTCCAGTGATACCGTTGCAACTGAAGCATACTTTTTATGTCTTACGAATAGTTTCTGTCAAAGACCACTAATTTCAGACGAAGACCAAAACCTTTGGACAAAGATGATAATGTGATGTACGTGGCAATTTGTAAACCGTGGAACTGAAACCGCGTAGGACGTATTTTGCTGGCCGACAATAATTGCGAGGTGGGGTCATATTAAAGTTGCACTAGCTTCGAATAAATTAAAAATATAATAGAAAACTCTTATTTCAAATAACAAACACAAGATTTTGTAAAATCACTCAAGCACACTGTAATTTTAATTCACATTACAAAAGTTTATATACACTTCTAGTAAAGTTCAATTACATTTTTAGTCTCTGACTCAACACTCATCAAGGGTGAGTTGCTAACTCTAGGATGAATTTTTTTGGTCAAATTATGGTGACACCGATTGACAACTGTACCATACTAATTTTGTGTAAATCAATAATGATATAGTATTGTAGCAAACTGAAATTTTAGGTACGATATTGGTATTTGATAATATTACCGACGATATCATCATACCGTATTGAAAAATTAATAAATAATAATTCATATTCATATATAAAAATACATATAGAATAGGATTAAGGGACAAAGATTTTCATTCTTTTTTAGCCATTAGATTTTATAACATTCAATGATCTTAATTAAGACTAATGTTGAAAATTTTAAACCTTAAATGACATGGATGATGATGTGAATTATAAGTAATAAATAGACAATTATATTAAAGGGGCATTTAGATTCAGGTCCAAAAAATCAGCTACTTTTGGATTGAGTCCAGTTAGATATTCTTTCTAGTTTAGGTATAATTGATCTCATCTTATTCCTGTTTTGCCCTTTATAGTAAAAATAAATATATATTTAAATTTCCTAATTTATGCATTATTTACTCAAATTTGAATTTCAAAATTTGAATCTTCGAATTCCTCAGTCTAGCCACAATTTAAGGAAAAAATATTTAAAATGTGTGATAGGTAGATAATACAATTTATCCATGACACAAGTAGTATAAAACACACAGAGGTAGATAAGAAAAAAAATGTGATATATATACCAAGAAGATCCATAGAAAATGATGAATAAAAAGATGATGCTGAGGGAGTAAAACACGAAGAGGTTTAGAATAGAAGAAAAAAAAAAGAACAAAGAAACATGAAAAAAAAAAGAAGAAGAATTAAAGCATACAAGATTGGCTAAATTCTACAAATCAAACCAACAATAGAAACTTGAGGTTGGACATCTTTGATCATCTACGCTTGGGAGCAGGGAGGAGGGAAAAAAAGAAGATATCGTGAGGGATGAGAAGGAGACATCGTGAGGGAGAAAGAGAAGGAAGAATAGGAAATGTTTTAAAGAGAATTAAATTCCTATACTTAATCCGATCATTAAGCATAAGATAATCCTATGAATAAGGATAAAAAATCATCATAAATATAAAAAAATTAATAATATATTAATTACTTAATTAGTCAATTTAGGGATAAATTTGGCAAGAGAAGAAAAATAAGTTGATGTGTACAATGAGTCATTGGACCTAAGTCAATAATCAAGCAAAATTGGACTATACCTCATAAAGGCTCACAAAATTGGACTCATGTCAAATTTCCCCTATATTAAATCAACTAAATCAATTAATCCAATAAAACTCAAAAGCAAAAAAATCAACTGCTCACGAACGTAAGGAGGAGGAGAGAAAATCCGTCTTTACTGCATGTTGATTTGATTCGATTGATAAAAAATTAAGAAGCACACAAAACGTATCGAGCAATTTCGATCTTTTGAATTATTTTGTTCGGTAAACAAAACTCAACCTAAAACCCTAATTCTTCATTTTGGGTATTTTGAGTGATAAATTAGATTGTGGAAGACTTCCAAATCATAAACTGGCACATGGGTAAGACGAGCTTCTTCCGTCAAAGCTCTCCTACCACATTTCCGGGGTCTGGTAAGGCAGAGAAGAGATAAGATCCATGCTCCAATTCTCAACCCCACATTCCCCAACAATCTCCATAGCCTCATAAACCTCCCGAACGCCATGAGCTCTCCCACAAGCTTTCAGCGGCTCTTCTTGAAACGCCTGAACTCCCAACGACACCCTATTCACACCCAACTCCATCATGGTGGGGGCTATGGTTGAGGTATTTTTTTCGAACAGCTGGCGCGGTGTGTGCGAAGCAGGTGAAGGTAGTGCGTGGCGGTGGCTTCGGCGGCGATAGGCGTTTGGCGGGAAAGGTTGAGAAAATGGGAGCGAAGCTTGATTTAAGCATTAATGGAGTCGGAACGAGGAGCGTGAGCGAACAGCTTTCAGCTTGTTATTCCGAAATTGGAAATGGCTTCGCTGGTTCATATGAAACACGAGACGACGACGTTTCAGTGATGTGAAAATATCATTTTCGAATTTGGAGAGTTTAATTATAATTACAATGCCTCATTTTAGCTACTCTGTGAATATCTCCATCCATTTTGACCATTTTACATTTGATTTTGTGTCTCAAATAGGAGAACAACTTACATGAAATAAGTTCATTATCTCTATGACATTTCATCTAATAATACATTATCATGTGCATTATTAAACCAAAACATTACGCGACGTTCAACTGTTCCACGTAAGTCCTCAAAAGTAGACCAAACGAACAAAAATGTATGAACATGAGCCATCCAGGTGAATCAATGGATGACATTTACAACAACCTAAAAAGGTTGGTGATATTGACACTCATTTTACCTCTTACACATTCCTATTAATTTATATCCTTTGATCTTTTTCTATACATTCGATCTGATAGATGAAAATTAAGAGGAGTGAGAAAGACACAAGGGGAAGTGTGAATACGACCACCCTACGTAAAATGGGAAGACCAAAGTCAAAGAAAGGAATTAAAACTGAGAACTTTAACGAAAAATCATATTTTTAAATTAAAAAGTCAATCCTGATACTATTTATTTTACCCTTTATTTTGTCCTTGTCATTAAAACTCAAATTTTCAAGTTATTTTCATTAGTTTTCCTATTAAAAAGAGGTGACCAAAATGAGAGAGTAAATAGCACACACTATTGGAATCTCAAAACAAGCAGACTGGTTATGCAATGCAAGTTACAACCTGTTTAGGATAATGTTACAAAATTGTATGAAAACTAGTTTTCTTTATCTCGTCATACGAGATGTTTCACCATGTAAGGCCCTTCGAGCTCGTAGCCTAATTTCCTATAGTAATGACGAGTTCCTACTCCTGAAATAACAGCAATCTTTTTCGATCTATGCTCCCTGCTTGCGATCCGCTCGGCCGCCTCCATCAAAAGGGTACCATAACCCTGTTTGAAACAATTAGGGAATGGAACATGTTATTAGAGAGCATACTCCTATGACTTTCTGAAGTTTGATGGAGCACATTACCCCCAATATATGCATCTCAACACTTACGGTAACATAAAGAGTTGATTACAAGATACATTACCTGGTGTTGCAGCTTGTCAGAATGCCGCCCATGAACTGGAACAGCAGTCCCATAAACATGGAGTTCACGAACAACAGAATACTTCCCCATGAGTTCGGGACAAGTAGTGTTCGGGCCACACTTTCTTAATCGCAGTAACCCAACTAGAATATCCTGTTTACAAAAAGAACAAAAACAAATCATGGTAAGTGTCAGTACAGACAACCTGCTCGATTGGTAAAACCCAAGCCTTAAGATTCTGTGCACAAATTACTACGCAAATCAGAGAAACAAGAAGTTCTGGAAAAGTGAGATCCTCTGTTCATCTATATATGCTGAAGCGAAATTAAATTAGATATTCTACTCAATATTACAATCATAATCTTTTTAAGTGTTTATCTTCCATCAGCACAACACTTCTGCACATGACAAGCATAGAATGATCATTTCGTTTGACGAAGCACTCTCTCACATATAAAGAACGAATACCAGGCAAGTATCTTCATATGAAAGAAATGTTTCCCATCCTTTATTTGCCATATAATCACGACGAACAAGCTCCACTTCGTCTGGCCTAATTTTGTGAAAGAAATGTTTCCCATCCTTCATTTGCCATATCATAGTTATTCATTTGCATTGATACTTTTCCAATAATTTTAGTATGCATGACACATTTATTGTTCATAATAATTCTATATCAATATCCAAATAACATTTCCAACCAATAATTTTCTTCGAGGAATATCAATTGAGAAAAGAAGGCTATGTCTTATTTTTGTGTTGTGAACATGATTCGACTTCCAGGCTTCTACGAAAGTGGTATTCTTATTCCTTCCCAAATTTTAGACTCCAAGTAGCTCAACGTCTTTACCAATTCTTTAATTCGTGGAATTCAAACGTTTAGGGATCTATTCCTTTCTTCCTTGATCAAATTTCTTGACCACTCTTTCAGATGTCTTCAATCACATAGGTGGCCATTTTATTTTGTTTTTTGTTTTTTTATTAAAAAGTGAGGTTAGTTTTTAAAATAAAATTAAAATTTAAAAAAAAAAAAAACAAAGTTACAAAATCGGACAATGGTTGGGCAATTTCTCCGAACGTGGGCATTTTTTTATTTCTAATGTATAATAATAATAATTATTATTTTATCTTTATATTGTAAATATTGAATATTAAAAGTAAGGTTAAAATAGAAAAAATAGGAATATGATTGTCATTTTGAGAAAGATGTTGATTAAGCCTCTTTGCATAATAATATTACTAGTATATGTGCGTGTGAAC